AACCATTACAGAAATAAGAAACTTCACAATTTCCGGAAAAAAAGTCTTGAGGATATAAAATAAGATAGCTGTATTATCGAAGTATCAAAACAACAACGATAAACAGATTTATATTGCAAAAATAAAAAGTCAGACTTTCCTTTACAGAGTTTGCTGTGGATAAAGTCCTGAGTTCCACGTAGTTAGATAGGGTATCCGAGGATTCTTGACGTAGATTTCACGAGTGAATGCTATATGTTGTTCCAGTTGATACAATACAATCCTTGTTGACTATGGATAACTGGATAATGTGAGGAAAGCGGCTAATTTCCAAAATATTAAGGAAAAATCATTCACGCAGAAAGTGAACACCCGTTATGCAGGAGTTCAAACTTGTTGTTAAAGGTTGAGTGATTGCAATCGCTTCGTTGCTATGTCTCCCGTGGAAAGGTTAAAAACGGCAAAACAGACGCGGTTGTGTATCAGTTGTTTAAAAATGGGGCACACAAAGTTGAGTTGTAAGGCGACAGACAAAGAAGGTAGTGGTTCAACGATGTGCACCCACTTCTGAGGACAGCAAACGAAGCGGGGAATTCGGTTAATTCTAATAGTGCCTTTAGACCCCTTGACAACCCATAAGTTTATTTAGGGGTATAACCAGTCAAGGTGAAAGGACCGAAATCTTCAGTAGAGACCTATGCATTGTTGGATAATGGTTCAGACGCTACATTGATAGATGCTGAGCTGGCTGGCTGCCTGGGTATTAAAGGGCCAAAGCAATCCTTGGAGTGCAAAACGCAACCATTTATGACGAAGGAGTCTTAGAGAAGTGGATATCGAGTAAGCTTTGTGGTGTCTAGTAATCCAGATAAACTTGGTGAATGTAACAGCTTTCTTGGGCCATCCCCAACAGATAGGTTACAAGTAATGAGACAAACACAGTTGTGTTTAACACGTTTGCAAGAGGTTCATAAAAGTATGAACTGTGAATCAGTGAGCAAGTTCAGTGATAAGCTAAATGTAAACTCCAGGCCTTACTCCGAATTGTGTGACGATAACGGTGTGATGAAGAAGCCTGTATTTGCAATTAGTAAGCCATTGTTGAATAGAGTGTCACAGAATAGAGTTACTGCTTCAGAGTCCAGTTCTGACTCCACAAGTTTACAAGGTATTACTAGTCAGAGTGAAGGTATAGAACATTTAAGGATTTGTAAAGAAGAACCCAAATTGTCTACTTCTGTTAAAGAGTTTGAAAATGATGAAATTGACGGTTAAGTGAATATTCGTGATAATGATCATGATAGTGCAGATTTGTCTTTGGTTGATCATGATGAAATGAGGGATATGCCTACTACTGCTAAGTTGAATAAAGGTTCTGTACAACTACAACGTGAAGTAGAATTAAATGCAGATGCAGTTGCAGAAGGCATGCATACTTGTCAAACCGTCAGTGTAATTGATCAGAGTGAAGGCCAACTATCATCAGATGCTAGTGCTAAACCGGAGCTGATAGTAAAAGACAGCAGTGGTGGTAATCTTGCAGTTAGATATCTTTCCGAAAGTCGAACAACAACAGCTTCTGATCCACCGCTAAGTCCATCAACTTGTGTCACTCAAACGTCGTTGATGTTATCATCCACAATGAAAAAGACGCCCATCAACTCAAGTATCTTGTGCAGTGACTATGATAGTATTGGTACATTTGAAAAGACGAAAGATATTGGTCAGCTTAGTGAGGATAAGCCAAGTGTGTACGAGAGGGTAATTGTTAAATTAACTTGCATGAATAAAGGCATTTCTAGTTTCAAGTTATTATTTGAATGCTATTATCTTTGGTGTAAATTACTCTGTTTCTACGCTTGGTTGACCAGATACATCGTGTGTTTGTTCGTCATCTATATTCTACGATACAATGACATGGGCGTGTCACCGTTCAGATTTGAGGATATAGCTGATAGAAGGGAGTCAGCAAATGAACTCTGCAGCGATTTTCCAACCTAGAGCGTCAACCTGAGAAGGGTTGTAGGCCTACTGGTGTAAGTCCTACAATTCTTCAAGGATAGCATATCGGCGAGCTACCCAACGTGCTTAGAGTGTTATTTTGTAAATATTCATATTGTATATATTGAATTGGTTTCGTCTCTCATCTTTCTGTTAGTGACGCCGGGGAGGCTATTGCTGAGAATGAAATGCACACGGAGATAACGATTAGCTGTGGTCCAACACGCCGGGGAGAAAGAGCGTAGATGACTGAGGTTTGCATACGTCACCGTTACCAGAACTGAGGCAGAATGAGTGACAAGCGATTGCAGTGGTAATTGGTAGTGAATAGATAAGAGGATGTGCGAAGAGTATCACGAGGTGCTGCTACAGTCACGCTGAGTTCTGCAAGAGTCATTCTAGCAAGAGCGATTGTGTCGTAATATGTCAAGAGGATGCCTTTAACTTGAAGGCGTAGGTCGTCATCCATGAGTGAGATTTCGCTGTATGTATGCTTGTGGTGTGTTGGCTTTTCTGTTTGTTTGAACGATCAATTCATGGTTGTTTGATCAAACCCAACTTCCCCATAATTTTCGCGGGTCATCTATCCGACAGTCTTCGTCTCATCGTTCGCCGTTCAGAAGGAAGATTATAAACTACCAGAAGTAATATCGTGATTTATTGTTATAACATCTGTTCTTAGACCTTCTGTAATATCATTAGTGTTGGTTATATGTTGGCGTAAGTATACAGGTTTCTTGAGTCGCCAATCAGTGTTCTGGTTATCGCGTTGGTTAATACAAGGCGTTTCTGAAAGTCTTCGAGGGAAGGCGTGAGGTCCAATGTAGTAAGACCTTGACATTTACAGTTTATGCGACTTGACGGACAACTGCAATTTATAAGGAAAAGAGTAAATGATCTCATGTCAGTGGTAATGTTTATGGCAATTTAATCTTATTCAGCTGAGGTTTAATGAATATTAGATGATAATCTGACCGGCATATCGAGTATTCTGTGTGGAATTCCTTCATCGTGTTCGTTCAAGTTCTGTGGAAAGGAACAGGGTTTCCATGTTTGATCGCTCAGCTCACATTCGCTTGGAGATAGGCATACGGAAACTGGGTTATCCTGGGTGTCTGAAGAGGGTACATTTAAGAGTAAGGTAACAGACTGTTTGACATTAGCTTGATTGGTGGCATTACTGTCGTTTGCTGAAAAGAGAAAAAATGCCGAGTGGATTGATTAGTTGGGTACTCGTAAAGACTGTTTTGGTGTCGTGGGGGTGTGTTTGTGGCGTGGTAGCCTTGACCAGGTGGATCTGCAAGCAGACTATGCAGAAGGTTTAGGCTATGCACCAGAAATACGGGCATAGTTAAATTTGGTATTACGCATCCTCATAGTAGAAGTTGGGTAGCTGCAATTGGTTGTATTAAAATGGTGAGGAAAAGTGAATCAGAAGGGTTGACCAATGTTTGTTATATTTGATACCATAGACGTCTTTTTAGGAGATTTAAGCGCATGAGTAATGGAGGATGCTAAAACAGGCTTGACAAAGTTTATGCCAGGCATAGGAATTCTGTTCCTTACATTTTTACTCAGAATCTTAGAGCTAGATGTGAAGATGTTACAAGGGTTTTCGATAATTTTAGCCTGGCGGATAGGGATTACTTACATGTAAGCGGATGCCTGACCGTTTACTGAAGGTTGTTCCTAATCCTTAGGATGTTTGAAATCGAATATGGCCTGGTAGCCACAGACATTTTTTCAAGAAATAATTACACTGATTTCGCTTGACGAGGAGAAAAATGTTAAGAAACCCACTTATGTAGAGGAAGATAATCTGGATGAGTGCCAATTAGCTCGTTAGCGATTCGCATGGCCTGGACAGATGGCATGATATCTATATATATTTTTTCATTTGAAACCTTAAACTGTGCAACTTAATCCAAGCATGTTTACGTTTTGCGATATAGTTAACCCCAGTTAACTGCTTGATGGATCTACCTGGCACACGAAATCAAACCAGAGCCTGGGGGAAACAGTGACAGTGCACTAAGAGACTTGGGTATGAGATGGCATAAAAACGGAAAATTAAAGTCTGTGGGTCGTCCGGCATTCAATGTTTGAGTACTCTCTAGAGACATGCTATGAAGAACGTTAAAAACAATTGCATTATTATACCTTGATATGCATGGACTAGACAAAATATGGTTTCCTAGGTGTTTAGTCACACTGAAGAAAGTGGTGACTGCATGTCACCGAGTGTGATAGCGAGAAATTTTCTGCTAGTTATTGTTATAGAAAGATATTACCGTAGAAGCTGTGATTACAAGAGCACAAAATACGAACTTATTGAAATATAAGACAGTTTCAGCCACATTTGGGGGGGGGGTAGGAAGAATGACGGCCGAGAATGAGCTCTTGAAATGTTACTTAATAGTGTATCTTGTTGAGTACGCATGCTATAGGAAATTTAATATATTGAATTATCATCACTTTGGTAACCAATCTATTTTGGCATGGAGTCATAAACTGTGTGAAGGAGGTCGAAGATAAACGGCATATACAGTAAAAGTGTATTCCATAAGCAGACTTTATGGCCAGCAAAATTTCGCGTGTCAGGGCAATAATTAACTGTAGGTGAAATTAAGATCCTCATGACATAGAATTGAGAAATCTGTTGAAAATATCCCAGATTGTGAAAGTAATATTATTGCGATATTAGCCAATCACACAAAGTTTTGATGAGAATTCATCAACAGTAAATACCACAATTTCTTAAAGACCCTGCGAGATGTACGTTATTCCAATGAATGAACAAGGAAATATTCATTTTGTACATAGGTTATGGCTATACTTAATTGCACCATTAGAAGTTCTTTTAATTTGTAACTGAGTTAAGTAACAGAGGGCAAAGATTACCTCACTGTTATCACAATTTCTTCAAATATAATAAAGTTTTGGCCAAAAAACAGATAGTTTTATTCCAATACAGTAGGCGGAAAATTGATTGCTGATTGGCGATTGAATGACCTAAATGCATCACTGTTTCGCTTTTTAATAGCGCTTTTTTTAATCTCACAATTTGTTATCACGGCGAATGAAATTCTACTGCTTGTCTTCTAATAGCTAGTGAATGGGGCATTAAGTATTACTTCCTCCATGCGCAATCGTTGAGTTCATCACTAGAAATGAGATATCATCATATATTTCTAACAAATGCACTTTGACTCACATAAACTATATTCACTACATTTCTCGTTTTCTTTTGTGTGAATCAAGTTCAAAGGTGTATGCATATATCGAACTAAATGAGTGGAATGTCATATCATGCATTACCTGGACTGTCTAACAATGAGCCTTTCATAGCTTATGGAATCCAACCTGGGTTCGTCAAACAGGTTAGAGAAAAGTTTCAAAGTGAAATATCTATGCATGAGCTCTCAAAAAACTCACAAAGTTTTGCTAAACATCATTCAGCCACAGCTCGACTTGCAAGTGAGTATGAAAATATACTACACAATGAGTTAAGAATTCAAAGGCATAACACGTACCCTAGTAGAAGAATTCAATCGGCGGGAAGAGTTTCCGACTCCTCTTATTCATCCAACAGGAATACACACAAATTTCCAAGACCTTCAGACAGAGAAAATTTATCGCCTTCTAATGGTTTGAAAAAGAACACTAATAACCAAGGGAATACGAATGGTTTTTCTCAGAGTCATTCCAATCAAACAGCTACAATTATTAGAAATCATTCCGTCAAACTTTGCAGGTTTGACGATGATTCGTCAGTCAGAAAGAAAGAAATGCATAGCAACAGGCATTCAAAATCATTCTCTTTTTCTAAACCTAGTGGATCTGACAAAAACTGGCGTGAACCCACACCAGTTTCTCATATTAATAATAAACCAAACTTCGAGTTCAGACAACCCGCACCGCTACCAAAACCAACAAAAAGTGAGTTAATGCAGGATCCTTTGATTAATTTCATTATACCAAGGGGATTTCAGGCAAGTAATCAGTTTAGTCAACGTGCTTATGATACTGATGCATTCAGCAACACTCATAAATCTCCCCAGTTACTTGGTGATAATGTAGAAGGCGATAAACTTAATCTGAATAACCACCTTCATAATAATTTAATAAGTCAAGGAAAGCATACGAAAGGAAATAAAACAATAAAAATCGACCCTAGAAATACTCAAAACTCGAGTTCACCCTTTAAACCTGTGGGAAATATTCACATAGACAATCCTCAGAACACCAAATTACTTGATGATTCCTATGAGGCTGGCAATAAAAATCAAAGCAACAGTAAGATTCGCACAACAGTGGGTGATGGTCACAAGAGTATGGAGTATTTAAATACTAAAGAAAACATTCACGGCGGAAAAATGAACGTAATTAAAACAGCATCACAAGGTAGTATAGTTCACAAAACTAATAGTACCAGTGGTGACTTTCAAACTCTTGTGCTACCAGTTGTTTCAAGTGAGTTTAGAAACAACACCACATCATCTGGTTCTATACCGCCAACATCCATATTATCTCCATCTCAGTCTCGATTTAACATTGTGAATGGAAATACTTCTTACTCATCAAAAAGAAACCCCAAGAGTGAACCGATTTGTGATTTAACCTCAGCAAACAGTACCATCTACTCTACCAAACTTACGCAACATTTGAAGAAAACGGAAAGACATGATGATGTGAACCAGGTTACTTTTCATCCCGATGGTTTTTCTAATAATGGAAATCTAATTGCTACTGCTGAAGCACCTCCAGCATTACATAAAAGTGAATTTAAAGTTAGCAATGTGCCACAGGTCACCCACCTTAGCACCAAGCATAATGAAGAAGTTTCGGTTTCAAATACCACCCCTCATTCTTCTGGCCCATTTAACTCAACAAAACCACCTCTTACAGTGAATCCCGAAAATATAGACAAGGGGGAAAACAAACATAATGTTGTAGGCGAAAATGGATGCTGTCCACAAAACACTGACAAAATCACCGCTTCAGAATCAGATACAGCAAGTAAACAGAATGCGAAATCTTCTAACCTTCCATACCACAAAAGGCAAGTAAACTGTTCTATTCTGGACAGTGTAATGGGTGAAATGCAGCAGCTGTTTGCAGGGAAACAAACAATAACGCCAAGCAAAAAATCAAAAATACATGATTTTGCGAGGGAAAAGGCTATGCAATGTAGAGAAGAAAGAGAAGATGATAGGAACAATCTATCAAATATCACAAATGTAAATGAATCAACAGAAAATGAGGTTGTGGAGCCAAATCCTGATATTCAAATTGCAGGCACATCTGCGTCTACCGCAACAGATAATTTTAAGAGACATAAGCAATCCAAAAGTTTTCAATCAGCACTTCAGGCGGTCGAGAAAAATCTGAAACTGGTTCGTTTTTCAGAAAGTAAAGATAGTTCAAACTTTGTTAATACAACTAATGAAGGTACAAAGCATTGTAATCAGAATGTCAATGGCAGTTTACCAGGCAATTCCGACGTTAGGAAACACATATTTGAACCGGGCAGTGTAAGTTTGAAATTAAATAACACTTCATCCAATAATGTTTTAAAAATGAGCTTTCAACTATATTTACTGAAATATCTGCGAGTGATCCAATGTCCAAAAATTTTTAAATTGTTAGTGGTGTTAAGGGAATATACTATAAATGTTGTTGGAATAAGAAAAGATGGTTTGATATAGTATATGTATTAGATTTAGGTTGCTGGACTGAGTTTTAGACAAATTGTAGTACAGGTCTACGCATTTAGAAACAAGAAGTTGTATAAAACTAATCACGAAATATCCTGGAGAACCAAGTCACTGATTTTGCGAAGTAAAAGGATGATGAGAACAAAACTTTAGAGAGAAGAGAACAAGAAGCTAAGCAAAGATGTCTTTTCGGTGATTAAATTCCCAAAAGCTGTGCAATTACGTTTATATACATAAGTTTACATAGACGCATAATGATGACGAAGATAAAGGCGATAATAATTTTCAACTTGATATGAAAGTTCGGATTTGTCAGTATAGATCACAAAGGGCTCAAGAACAAAATTTCACAGGATAAGAAAATAGCTGCGTGATATATGAAACAGTTTTTGCTCAATGAAGATGTATGTGAACGCGACGAGCCTGAAACAAGCTGAAATGCTAGTCTTTATAACTAAAGATGAAAAAGATAAAGGGAATGAAAAAAACAAACAAACGAAAACTAAATGATCAAACCCAATTAGGTAATTGATAAATGTAGATGATGGACTAGCTTCTTTTGAACACACGTTTTTACTCTTTTGCTCTCAGTGCAACATATGGGTCAAAGCTAGAAGCTTGAAGTTTAAGTAGCAGTAGTTTTTATTTTAACAGGATGGGACTGCTAGCCCCATGCCTAACGTTCCCTCTCTGCCAGTCTTACTTTTGGCTTAGTGAGGTAAACGAGTATGTCTGCCAGGGATCGAACCCAACCACATTCATGGTCCGCTAACATTCTACCGCTACGCTACCGACGCAGATCTCGGATTTTTTTATGCATATGTCGAGGGCTACTGAAGTAGGATAAATTAAGAAAAACATAGTGCCTTTGTTAGATTTTTGTTCACTTTGCAGATAATTCTGAATGGTGAGTCAGTTAAAATGATGTGACAGATGTTGACGAGATATTCAATTATGGTACTTCTGACTGAACAACTGCAGCTGCTTTGCAGCAATGCTGAATAATGTTCTCTAACACCTTTATAAAGGACGTGCATAGAACAGTTTATAATAAAACTTACGGATATACTTTCATTAGGAAGTGAATGCTTGAATTAAAGCATTATAAGTGATGAAAATTTCATTATCATGAAAAATTTGAAATATATTTAGTTAACTGTATATATCTAAAAGATTTGCATACTTATCCATGCTGCAGTGTCGTTCTTTTAAAAAAAAGGTCTTATAACATAACTATCAAAATTGCGCAAATACGGTGTATATAAGTTTTCACCGTTTATATCTGGAACTACTTAAAAGTATACGTTATGCATTTGCTTACTTGCAAACTAGTTTTTATTTTTTTTTCAATTTAAATATGTTAATAAATTGGCATCGTGTAGAAAAAAAAATACTGTCTTTTTTATACACAAAATAGTGGATGCAAGTTATTTAACATTTTAAATTTTCAAGGATATTTTTATATACTAAACCTCTTTAGATTTGATTGAAACTAAGCTATTGGTAGATTGGTAAATAATCCGAATAAATAATACTTACTTAACGAAGGTTTTAAACGCCCAATATAAGAGCTTATTTATAAAGCCAGTTATTTGAGCTAAAAGAATAGCAACAATGAGGTAATTTCTAAAGAACAAAACACGGCACGATTGTTTCGGAGTTCAATTATTTTTTTTTCCGTCATTTCCAATCAGCTTATTTTAAGCAGTCTAAAAAATGCTTGTGTCACAAATATGAGTACGCATATAAACTTAGTGCTAAAAATATGAAGAATATAGATATGACTGTTAGAGGCACAAGACAGGCTGACAGCCAGTGATTACGAAATTATCGGAGTCGAGATGTTTTGCCTTTGAGGAACAAGACATTTCAAGTAACACCAGCGCAACATCTTTTCTTTTGAACCTAATATATACTCATATATATGTATATATATATATATATATATATATTCGTCATACCCCTCTTAACTGGTTTGTGATAATGTCATTGAACTCTGAATCTATACTTTGCTTAGCTATGGTGTTTATGTAAAGGTATATTCTATGAGACTTTAACCTTCGGAATGTCTCATAAACACAATTTTCAAATATGATGTCACTTTTACTCAAAACTCACTGAACACTGATAGAAAAAATTCAGCACTGTGTATATCTATATTAGTTTACTTTATGTCATACAGTTACACAGAATTATTTACTATTTGAAGTCTTAGACAAAGTTTAGTGTTCATTATTATGTCAAATTCTACAACTTTATATCGTTCTAATTTTGTGTTAGTTCAACGTACTGAGACAACATACAGTAGAAATGATTCATACCAGTTGTAGGCACCCTCCGCTCTTATAACAAACAAAAAAGAAAAATCATAACTGTACTAACCATGTTTTGAAGTCGTTAAGTTACATTCAATATGATCATGAATTACAAAGTGTTTTCTGTTGAAAAGTCACCCAATAACTGATACCATTTTAAAATCTAACAGCGAAACTTATCATTATTCTAAGCTGAATTATTTCGAACACGGTCAAGTAAATAACCTCAAGTCACTTTACTTAAAGACAACACTTGAATAGTTTATGAGTTTACGAACTTAACTGAAAGTAGAAATAAAGGTCCAACAAAAGATTTATATTTCAGCCTACTTTTTCTCTGTGAAATATAGTAACAAGAACGACAGCCACCAAAGTATAAAGCAGAAGTGAAGTTAGTGGTGATCAAGTCATTAGCTGATAGTAGTTTCTTAGGTCTTTGGGGATTTTTATTGTCATCCCCTTGGGTCCCGAGTTCAGCTTAAGGCTTCCATTTCACATTGTTCACTATAATCTCCTTCAGCTGACCGGCTCCAAGGCTATCCGTAGGCTTTCAACTCCTACTCACCCTCAGACCCCCAATTCATTGTTTCCTATTATGGTTCCACTCAAGCTAAGATCAGGCACGTAATGCCACCCTGCGGTTTCTTCAGTATGTATCCTACTCATCTGTATATTCTTCAGCATATTTGTTGAGTAATCGGTTTTTGATTGGTTTCTTGCTGCTAATTCTTTCTAGCCATTTGATTTTCAGCATGGACAGAAGGCAGTTGTTGATGTAAGCCTGCAGCCTGTTGGAAATGTTTTTCGTGACGCGCGAAGTTTCCGACCTGTATAGAAGTACTGACTTAACATTTGTGTTGAAACTCCAAATCATGTTCTTAGTGCTGCGGAGTGCCTAAGGTCTCCAAAATGATTTTAAAGTGACACAGATCTACCCTGTTTTTCTGATTCTGGTGTTGACACCTTGATCCATTCAATCTGCAGTTGAAATGGTGATTCTTAGATAGATGAAGGAAGTGATCTCCTTTAAATTTCTTCACTTGACAGGGACTGGTACTTGTCGCTGTTGGTTGGTTACCTTCAACGCCCCTGTTTCTTCCATGTTTTTCTCTAAGCCTTTGCGAATCGGTTCTAAAAATATTTGCCATACATGACTTAGTTGATTTCATGAATATTATTTTCTGTTACATCATTTTAATTGAGTCTGAATGAAACAATATTTGAAAATAAGCTTCTTTTTATGCTTGACACTGATCTGTATAAATATATGTCCTATTGTTAAAGTTTTGCTGGACAAAATCAGAAGATAATTTTCCACCTCCCTAATAGATATTCAAATTTATATAAGACCAAATTTTTAAAAATCCATTCAAAGAACTGTACATACATTCCCAATGAATAACCATAAACCGCACTCACTAAGTGGACACTGATCACACTAGTTTTAAACACTTAGGCTGTCCTCCATCAGTACTTATTTAGTATATCCTTGTCCGTGACACCAAGTCACAAGGAAATTCATTATGTACTCATGCATATGCATATACGTTGGTCAAAAAATGATTGTACTATCCTATTATTTCATTCATAATTATTAGATGAATGGAAGCAATCGGTAGGAAGCTTTCGACGTAGGTTTCGTGCTCTTAGGCGTTCAACAGTCAACAAGGAGTATCTCCAATGTTGAAAGAACTCATATCCCTTCTGAGATTCAAACCCATATCATGCAATGCCGAAGTAATCGACATGACCACTAAGCTATTCAGGCTCTCGATTTACCTTCTGTAGGACTGTATTCAATAATTTGGTTGGCTTCCAGGTAGTAACTAGTGTCATATTTCTAGTCTTTTGTTTGGTGGAGGCTGAATCCTATCAGTCAAGTCATTTTTAACTACTTTTTGATTGTGTTAAAGGTTGTAATGTTTTCAAATAATTTACTGTGTCGTATTAAAAATTACGAATCAGATGCAAATAGTTTATTTGTTTCCTCAGTTCTTCACACTACTGCTGATAAACATTTTTAAAAGCGAGTAAAGTGAATTTCAATTTATTTAATTTGATTTGTCGCCATGTCTTTTAGCTTTGAGTTTAGTTTAAAGAAATACAACTAATAACTAACAGTAAATCTTTTAAGTTTTGGATTTATTCAAGGCAAACAAGATAAGATATATAAAGTACCTTATCATTAACCTAAAGCTGGTATACTCTTGCAAAGGCTATTTTTATTTAAATTACTAGCGTATAACAGAGCATTCTATATTTTGTTTAGCATAAATGACAGCTTTGAGGCAGTAACTGACTATTTTGCCGTTGTTCAGTAAATCAAAATAATGTTTACAGCTCCAAGATTTCCGAAATGCATTTTACGTCTCACTATCATTAAACACTGATCTTAAAATGGTCATTCTCTTCAATTTTGACCCCTACACATGAAAAAATTGTATATTCTGAATCGCTCCCTTGGTACTTATGATGTTACTATGTAATACATTTATAACAGGT